GGCTTCCAGGTCAGTTCTTGCTCCATTGCTCCAAGTCCTGTGTCCAAAGTGTGTCCTGTCTTCAGCAGTAGGGTCTTAAGTTTCAGTTCTTAGAGATAATCAAGAGCTCTGGCAATAGTCTATGTTATTTTGGGAGTTTCTTGGACCACATAACCAACTACTCGAAGGGAGGTCTCCTGTCTGTCACTGTGTTCTTTGCCATTCAAGCCCCAGGTATACATAGAGACTACTGTTCAGACACCACTTGCATTTCTCAGGTGGTTTTGGAGGAAACACATTTCCATCTGGCTTTCCTAACCCCTCAAGAGTTCAGAGACAGAGTTACTTGTATAGTTCTCTGTATTGTGGAAGCCAAATCTAGGGTCTAGGATGCTGGGTTCGAGATAGATTTGAGATTGTGGCCAATGTACATATTGTTCAAAGATTGTCTTTTTTTTTAATAGGTTGGGTTATGATATTTTATCCTTTCTTTTAATATAAATTATCTGTCAGAAACCATCTCACTTTTATAAGTGATAACCTTCTTCTCCTTTCAAGTTCAGATAGATATAAACACAGGTGTAGGCATTTTCCACTTGATTCCTCTTGTCTGTTGCTAGCTAAAAATACTCCAGTTTGGTTCTTCCCACTTGAGAGTCTTTTTATATGTCGGGTACTATATTTGATTATATGACTATAGAATGAGTAGAGCATGCTTTTTATTGACCCAAAGTTAAATTGATAAGAAATACATTCACAAAGATAAGAATGATACCACTTAAGTGGTACTGCTGTGGGGGTGTATGCAAAATACTGTGGAAGAAAGAGGAGAGAGTAATTGTATTTTCCTGGAGTCCATCTGCAAAATTAAAAGTTGACCTAATCCTTAAAAGGTAAGAGCACTTGGTTAGCAAATGTTATGGGAAAACAAAATGATATAAACAGGAAGAGATATGAAGATAAAAAATCAGGAAAGGATTTTTTAGGGAACTATGTATATACCTGTACAGTAGTATTCAGAATATACAGCTAAAAAATGGGAGAAAATAAGATAGAAAATAACACAAGTATGTCAGGAAAATTAATTGGTAAAAATGTTATGGCTAATTTTTCAGTTCACAACTTTTTCAATAAGTTTTAAACTTTTAAAGATAATATAAATTCAAACTTGAATTGTGAGTGGTACATTCAGAGAGAAGTCATGCCAGACTTGTCCAATCTTATGGACATGTGTGTAGTATGGTATGGTGTAGTGTGGCGTGTGTGTGTGTGTGCTCATGCACGTGTGTGCATGTATGTAGAAACCAGAAGTCAATGTTAGGTGTCTTCCTCTATTGCTCTCTGACCTATTTTATTTAAGATTTATACTTTATACTTATTGTGTTTTCAATTTAGTCCAGCTGCATTTAAAGCACTCACTAATTACCTCTAATTAGTGGCTGTCTATGGATTAGGTCGGGAGAGCTACACTAGTACAGTTCAGTAAGACTGTAGTGCAAGTCTTAATCTGTGAAGCCACATTAAAAAAAAGAAAGAGGGGTTAGGGGATGGCTCAGTTGGCAAACTGCTTCCCACACAAACATGATGACCTGAGTTTGCACCCTCACCAACATGTAGGAACCAAGTGTGTTGACATGTGCTTGTAATCCTAGCACTGGGAAGACAGAGGCAAGAAGATCCTGATTTCTAGCAAGATAGAATCTGAGAAGACCAATCAGAGCTCCAAGGTCAGTGAGGAAACTGTTAAAAAAGTAAGTCAGGGGCCTAGCAAGATGGATCACTGGGTAAAGGCACCTACTTCTGAGCTTGACATCTTGAGTACCCAGACCCACACAATTGAAGGAGTGAACCAACTCTAGAAAGTTGTCCTCTGATCTCCACATGTGTGCCATGGTGCATGCATACACATACACTCATTATAAGTAAATAAATCTTAAATAAAATAGGGCAGAGAGCAATAGAGGAAGACACATGACATTGACTTCTGGTTTCTACACATGCACATACACACATGCCATACTACACCACACCATACTACTCACATGTACATAAAATAGTGGAAAAGGAGAAGGTAAAATTAACTTTATAATATGCTCCATTAGTATATTAAGATATTGTCAGCTGGAGGTGGTGAACATGCCTTAATCCCAGCACTCAGGAGACAGAGCCAGGCGGATCTCAGAGGCCAGTTGGGGCTACACAGTGAGTTGCAGGCCAGTTGGGGCTCTAGGAAGATCCTATCTCAGAAAAAGAGATAGTGCCATTTCATTAGTCAATATAAAATTATTGATATATTTTATATTCTTACTGCTACAAAGTCATCAAAGTTCATTGGATACTTTATATTTACTATGAGTTTTCAATTTAGCCCCGCTGCATTTAAAGCACTCAGTAATTACCTCTAATTAGTGTCTGTCTATGGATTTACACAGATCTATACTGAATCAGTGTACAAATACCTTGTAGGAAGGTCTTGAAAGATGTTCCTTTGACATCTAGAAATTAAAAATATTGGTCTAGATCTTTGGAACAAGATCAAAACCAAATATAAAACTTTATCATTGATATGGAAGAGTTGTCAGACATAGTTTTCAGTAGTATACTAGAATCTCTGCAGGCTTTCTCTTGTACATGGTTTTACTGTAAGAGAACATGGAGAATATCTGAGAGGGACCACAGGATCCTGGATTTGGGGAACATAGTCATATATGGAGTGTCTCTGTAGTTGATTCTGACATGACCTCTCCCTGAAGAATCCATTCCTGGCTGAGAATTATTGGTTACAAAGGAGATGAGGGTTAAAGAGGCTAAGAAGGAAATAGAGAGGTAAAAGAAGGACTCTATTAATTAAACAAGGAAGATGGGAACTTCAACAATGAAGAAAGAAGAGGGTAAGACCACTTACAGATTAAGAATTTCCGTAATCATTGAGTTTGTAATTTAAATAGCGTGGTCTGCCAGCCTACCATGGCCTCTGTGCGTGAAGCAGTCAACAGAGGCAGAATTGCTGCCTAGCTGCTGGAAGATCAGAGCTGAACTGACTTCAAGAAGGGTTGCTGTGTCTCCCAGCCAGGTTGTGTGTGTGTGTGTGTGTGTGTGTGTGTGTGTGTGTGTGTGTGTGTGTATTATCGTTGTCTTTCTGTGAAGCTCAGGTCTAGCACTTACTATGTTGCTGAATGAGACTGGCTTCAAACTGTTGATCTTACATCAGCCTCTCAAGTTCCAGGATTACAGAAATGTGCCATCATGCACAACTATTGTAACTAAATCCTTTTACTTATGTTCTAAGTTTCCTCTCCTTTGGCTCTTATTTATGGATGATGCAGTTTAATTATATGAATACTCACATCTCCGTTTTTTCTTACCCACACTCTATAGAGGTTTATCTATTCCTACTTCTTTGTTCATTGCAGAAAAACTTAAAATTTTCATGAGTAGTGCCTGGATTCACTGTTTTGTAAAGCTCCTAAAGCAATTGTTATGTGCTAAGAGAACTACTAATCTATCCATCCATCTGTCTGTCTGTCTGTCTCTCATATATCTATATATATACATATATATAATTTATCCATCTTCATGTGTTTTGAGTTTGACTCAGAATCCAGCCATATATTGAGCTTTCAATAAATATTGTATGAATGAAAATCAAAAGAGAAAACAAATGAAACATGAGCAAGGAACTCAACAGACACTGGTGGGGAGTCTAATTCACATTTATTTTCTTTATAACGAACAGTTACTAGACAAGATATTAAATACACTATACATATCATGTGATCTTTACATGTTAGTGTATAAATCTTATCCCAAATTATTGAGAGAACAGCTTAAGTATAAAAATAGACTGGAAACTCATAGACCTGAATCTTATTGTGTAAATGAGTCACAAGGTGGAGTAAACTGCTCCACTGAATACTGTGTAAAGGAGAAATTGCTTCATTCCACATAAAGGATTTCACATCAATTTAGAATAACCCCTTCCAATTTCACTAAGAAGTGTTTTATTTTAATGTCAATTCTATATCTACTCCTAATACCCTGTTTATAAGAATATTTATCATTCTTTGCCATGATTCTTTAAAAAATATAAGTTATTTATATTATGGGGGTAGGGTGACATTCCATAGTGCTTGTATGGAGGTCGGAAGACAACTTGGAGGAATTGGTTCTTTTCTTCCACCATGTGGTCTCAGCGGACAAACTGAGGTCTTCAGGGTTGGTGAATAGTGTCAAGACTTTTCAAACCACTGCAGTAACTTGTTGAATCTGCTCTTCAGCTGTTGCTTTTTTTTTAAAATCACTAGTGAGAAATATAAAATACTCTAGAAAAGGAAAATAAGCTGGTAATCACAGACAGTTTATACTGTTCTCTTGGACTGAGACCTGGTAACTAGTAGTGACCTGTTTCATCTCACAAAACCTACAATTGAAGTCACCCAAAAACTACAGCGGGGCTTTCTGACAAACAAGTGTCCAGAGATGGGACCAGTTGGGATTTCAAGGAAAATAGCACTAAGCTCCAGGGTGGTTACTCCCTATAGTATTAATAATCTGGTGACCTTTCAGAGTTCCATGACCTGTTTCCACCATGAACAATGAGTGAAAAATCATGTTTTCTATAGACTAGAGAAAGGGGTTTTCTGCCTAGGCATGTCCATTCAAGTGGCTAAGGTAAGGAATTTATACTAAGATTTAAGGAATTCTGGCCCAGAGTCAGAATCATTTTTTTTTTAATGTGTTTGGAACAGCAACCTAACCACCTTCATCAGTGCTTGGGGGATGCTTAAAGTCCCTGCACATGTTCAAGCCTACACTAAAAACTTGGCAGTGGGTTGTGTCACAGAGCAGTCAAGGTACTCTGATTTTTGGTCAGAATGCAGAAGATAGGGGAACTGGGGAGTCTACACTACCACAATAAAAGATAGTTCTTCTGTACCTGTAGCTATTGCTGTAGTAAGGATTTGGAAATCAAATCTTCCTGATATAGTTTATTAATCTAAAACTTATTAATGTTCCCACAGATGAAAAGAAGTGAAGAATTGCCAAATAAACATACTGACCAAGAGGAAACAAGCATTCTTCGTTGCTGGAAATGTAGAAAATGCATAGTGAGTTCTGGTTCCTTCATGAATTACCTTGAGAGTCAAGTGATTGAGGTGAGTGTTGCCAAATTCAAGGAGTTTTTTACTAAGGAATGTTGTGGGTATAGCCACACACATACTCACTTATTCCTCCATACATGACTGTGTGCTGAGTGCTTTTTTTAAAAATTGACATAATATTTTCATTGGACAAAAAAGCTAAAACTTTTCAAACTAAGAACATTTTAATGTATATAGCTTGTGTATAGTAAACTTGTTTGCAGCTCTAATATTGAATTAGATAAATTGTATTAGCTCTAATATTGAATTAGTTACTTTAAGAAGCTGTGATAAAACACCATGACCAAGGCAGCTTATAGAAAGAAGACTTTATTGGGCTTACATTTCCAGAGGGATTAGGCTATCTTGTAGAGATAGAATGGCAGGAGGCAGCTGGAGCAGAGAGCTTAGCACTCACATCTTCAAGCATACTCAGGATGCAGAGAGAAAACCAGAAGTGGGACAAGGCTATGAGCTCTCAAAGCCTGCTCCAGTGGCGTGCTTTCTCCAGCAAGGCCATACCTGGGCTGGGGATTCCATGACCTTACCAAATGCCAACTGAGTAAATGTTCAAATGCTTGAGCCTCTGGAGATGCCTCTTTCATACCACCACAGATATAAATTAGTTCAAGATATTCAACACTTCCATTTCCCAAGAAATTTGTTTTTCTTCTTTTCAGGAAAAATCGTTTTCTTCTTAGAAAGCAACAACTGCTATAGTGATGTCTGTCTCCACAGGCTAGTGTCACCTATCATGGTCTTCTTTCAAATGAGATAAAATAGCATCCATTCTTTTGTACCTCATATTTTCCCCAGTGTAATTTCTTACACTTTGATTTATGTGTCATGTGTATCAATTTGCTGAGTAGTATGCCATCTGTGAGTATAACATTTTCCATTTCACCATTTTATTTTCTGCTGAGGGGCCTTTGTACTCATCCAGTTTTAAGTTCTGTGTGCTTATTCTGGTTTTTTTTAAGACTGATTTTTTAATATAACAGAAAAAAATAATATCTCAAAATACAGGGCTTAAGACTTAAAAGACAATAAAATTTTTGTTCTGCTTTTTAGAAATGTTTGTTTAATGTATAAGTACACATAAAGAGAAATCATCTTCTGATACACCCAGCAGAAAACTTGCATAAATCCAAGGTCCATATGAAAGGAGGAGCTCTGGCCCCACATTGGTAGCTGGAGTGCGTGCTTCTCTGAGTCACAAACCCAAGCCAGGGGAGGGCCATGCTGATGTATAGAGCAGCCTATATAATTTGTGGAAGATAAAATTACATTTATTCTTGGATTAGCTTCTTCTTTGTGACTATTCATTAAACCAGAGAATATATATATATATGACTATTCATTAAACAAGAATAGATAGATAGATAGATAGATGATAGGTAGGTAGATCGATAGATAGATAGATAGATAGATGATAGGTAGGTAGATCGATAGATAGATAGATAGATAGATGATAGGTAGGTAGATCGATAGATAGATAGATAGATAGATAGATAGATAGATAGATAGATAGTATTTAGGAGTTTCATGTCCTTCACAGATTTCTCAAAACATACAGGAGTATATGCATGGGGTGTGCATAAATCCAGTGTCATTTATTTAGGAGACTTAAGTATCCACAGATTTGGGGACTCTGGACTTAATGGTTCCTTCACCAAGGGATGACTGTATACAATAGGAGAGCATTCCTCTCTACTAGATTTTCGTATAAACATGGGGGCTGGCTTAAATACCTATCATTTAATAAACGGACACTCAGAAAAAGAAAATGACTTTGAACATAATAGTCAAATATATGATTAATTTTCATTGTCTTCATAATTGTAGAACTACTCATTGATATTATAAATTACAGAAAAATAAAGGACAAATTTTTAAGATTGTGTTAATAGGTACAAATATAGTATCTAGTTAAACTCAACTTTAGTTCACAATATAATCTGAAAACTTAGGAATAGATAGAAACTTCCTAAATTTAGTAAAATTGCATCTATGAAAAAGGTACATGTGGCATCACAGTCAATGGAGAAAACTCAGATCCTGCCTTCTGAGAAGCAAAGTAGTATATGAGTTCTCAACTGTGCTTTCAGTATTGTTCTGATGGGTTGGAATCAGTTCAGTGAAATGAGAAAAAGAAATAAGACATTACATGTTAGAATGTAACAAGTAAAACTACCATTATAAACAGCACATCTCTTTGTACAAAAAGTTCTTAGGAATCCATACTATAACTACTCAGGATTGTATTCAGGATACAGCAATTTCTTTTTTAAATTAATTTTTAATTTATGCCTATAGAGTCAGATTTCTGTCCCCAAATGTCCTTCAGTGTGGGTTCATTCACTGCAGCTTGACAACCTGTCAAGAGTGTCACCCTTAAAAGAGACTGACTCTCCCCTTCCCAGCCGCCTTCAGTTGCCAGTAGTTCTTTGGGTAGGGTTTAGGTTTCTTACCCACTTCCCCATGTTTATATTTGGATTTTGGCTGGCTTGAGCTTACATGAGACTTGTCCAGGTTTTCACCATTGCTGTGAGTTCATATGAATAACTGACCTCTGGAAATTTTTGTAAAATTCTTTCTGTTATTTTGTTATTTCTTTTTTGATATATATATACATATATTACATATTTTTGTAGATATATACAGGGTAGTTATATTTTATTTTTTCAAAAAATTTTTTTTTATTTTTTATGTGTATGAGAATATTACCTGCATGTAGGTAAGTGCATCCATGTAATGCAATACCCATGGAGGTCAGAAGAGGGCACTAGACCCGCTGGAACTGGAATTACAGATGATTGTTAGCCACAATGTGAGTGCCAGGAACCAAACCCAGGGCCTCTAAAAGAACAGCCAGTGCTCTTAACCACGAATACATCTATCCAGTTCTATATTTTACTTTTGAAAGAAATTTCTAAGTGAGCATTCATCTTTAGTAATGGTGAATGAGAATTCCATTTGTTCTTTATCATTGTCAACACTTAGTATTTTCAGTCTTTATCATTTTAGCTATGCAGGTAGTTGGATTGTAGTATATCATTATAGTCTTACTTTGTATTTCCCTAGTAACTGATGATGTAAGATACTTTTTCATATGCTTATTAATTCAAGGCCATTTTATATGCTTTACTTTACTCATATCTATTCTGTAGAGTAACCCTTTGGGGAAGAAAAATCTATCATCTCTGCATCAAGATATGGAAACTGGAACACAGATGTTGAAATAATTTGCTTAGGTTCATACTGCATCTAGGCAGTAGGTTTACAGTGGACAGAACAGTTTGAGCACTGGGATAGGAAATAGAAGGGATTGACACAGGAGCCTTAAACCTCAATTGAAATTGGGGCCAGAGTAGCCAAGTCTGATGAGCACTGTGATGTGAGTAGAACAAGACAAAAACTACTTGAGTGTCATGGTAGGTGTGGTATGCAAACTTCTGCCTGGGCTGGTGAGGATGGCAGGCTTCCCAGATGAGGCACTGTGCGTGTGTGTGTGTGTGTGTGTGTGTGTGTGTGTGTTTTAAATGTGATTTTTGAACCATAAAGTCTACCTTCTATAAGAATATAGTTCAATAATTTTTAATTGTGAAGTTTTCACCACCAAACTGTTTTAGAACTCTCCAATGTCCCTTTGTCATGCACCATCCCATGTAGCCTACAATCCGATTCTTGTTTCTTTAGATTCATGCATATAATGCACTCATCATATAAATATGTGGAAGTTATTGAAAATACCTTCTAGAATAAAGTATATTTATATAAACATATACAATTATTTATAATTATACAATTATATAATATTGTGTATGATATACAATTATACTTATGTTAATTTTTATATATACTAAAATGTATATGAAATAAAGTATACACATATAAAAACTATTAAGAACAAGGCAAAAAATACTTGAGTGTCACAGTAGGTGTGGTATGCAATCGCAGGTTTCTGTAGCAATGTAATTGTTTATTAGGGCAGTGGGCATGTTGTAATTTGCTGTCCTTAAATCATTTTTTAAGCTATAAAATATATTTTTCACATTATAAATGTATACATTTCATAAGATATTAAAGATGAACATTAAATGATCTTTTTAAATTAAAGGAACCATAAAGTAAATAATTGAGACCTGAAAATAACTTCATCAGTTGTTTTGTTGAAGATTGATTTTATTGCCCATCAAAATATCTCTATGTATTACCTTTTGAAGTTAATATACAGTTACATACATTGAAAAGCAGTGTTTTATTTTCTGAACTTATTGTAAATGAAATAATACTGTAGGAGGGATTTTGAGAATTCTTGCTGTGATAGACTTTCTTATACCTCCTATGGCAGCCATGCAGGGGTAAATCTTGACATGGGGCCGCAGTATCAATAGGACACGTGTGTGCTGCACATAACTGAGCAATTCCTAGCGGTTTGCAGATGAGACACATCAGCCCTGGTGACCGATCATTACTGTGGTTCCACCCTCTCTTCAGACATTTTCAGGGATGAAATTTGTATCTTCTGTGAAGTCTTTTTTTCTTGTATGTTTTAAATTAGGCTGCTTTGACTCAGAAGTTTGAAAAAAAGATATATTCTAAATATTCATCCTTTGTTGGTTATTCTAGTTTAAGTATTTACTATTTTATAAACTTATATTTCATTCTTTTATATCTTTTGATGAATCAAAGGTTCATGATATAATTTAGTTGATTTTTTTGTCCTTTCCATGTTTTTTTCTTTAACAGATTTTTTATTTAT